CTTGCTGGCTGTGACCCTTGCTCTACCTCCGCCTGTGCATCTCAGATCAAGTATTTTATCTCAGCTATCCTCATTTCCTTCTGTTGTGGGGAGGCTGGTTGGGATTTGTGGGGGAGGGGCTGGCAGGGTGCCCCTTGCCCTTGGAAATGCTCTGGAGAGTTGCATCCCCAGTGACTTCCCCTGCTCCAACATACTCTTGCTAGTGGCACATCCCAGTCCCTGTCCCCTGCTGCATGTGCAGAGGCTTTGTCCTTGAGCAATCCATTTAGCAGACTCCTGTCGGGGACTGAGACAGGGTGTGGGGCGAGAGGGGTGTGAATTGGCAGCCTGGCAGAGTGGGGGTTAAGGCTGGATGGCTTAGCTGTGAGCTGATCTGAGCCAGCCCCGCCCTGTGTGAACAGGGAGGGGGGCAGCTGGGGCCTTGAGGGGCCAGCAGCTTCTCATAGAGCTGTCCTGTGCCCAAGTGCCTGCCAGACCTGCGCTCCCAGCTGCCTGGGAACCTCCGCCACACGGGTCAAGCCGCAGCTCGGCTCCTTAGGGCAAGCGCTGTTGCCAGTTGCCATCGTTGCCACAGTCTGTCCCCTGGGCAGAGCCTCCGCTGCTTCTGTGCTTTGGTCAAGATGTGGTAAGCTCTCTCCCCAGCCCCACGTGCCCTTCTCAGAGGGAGGCTGACACACGTGGGAGCCGGGCTCAGCCTGCCAGTGCCAGGAGCCCGCTGGAAAGGTAGGGTGCGCGTGTGTGTGCCTCTGCAGGGCGAGTCTGAGCCGCTTGACTGGCAGGTAGTGATGTGCCCGCTAACTGCTCTGTGCTGCGTGTTTTCTCTCCCTGTGTGCCCAGCCTGGCACTCTCTCCCGGCATGTTGGAGATGAGACTGGGAGAGGTGGAGGAGGTGGGGAGCTGAGGAAGTACTTTAAACCCTGGGTAGCTGTGCTTTCTTTTCATTTTGTGCCAGCCTCAGAGGTTTTCAGAGCCCCAGAGCCCGATCAGCGAAACCCTCACCTCATTCCAAGATTTCTAGGTGATAGAGTGAGGCTGAGGTGATTCTGAAGTGAGGGAAGAAATGGGATCATGGGGGACCTCCCTGCTGCCATGAGTTTGAACTTTTGTCCTGTGATAGTAGGTTGCTCAATAAGACTTCGGAGCAGTGGCATGAGATGGTTACACTGTGTCAAGAGAAATCACTTGGTCCTCAGTGGAAGCATAGCTGAACAAGCTGGGTGAGCTGGGAGGGGGCTCGGGCTGCATTGCACTAGCTGGTGACCAGGCCGGGCCAGAGGCCCTGGGTGTAGAGAAGAGCAGTCAGATCTGAGATGCTGAGGTGGTCCTGACAGCCTGTGGCAGGAGAGTGAGCTGGTCCCTGTGTGTTGGATGAAGGGGTCGGGCCAGTAGTTGAACTTGGAGCTGAGCTAGGGACCTCGGGGCTTTTTATCACAGCCATCGTAGGAGCCAGTCTTCCTTTGCCTGGGCTCCCTTCCTTCCGTTTTTCTCCCTTCCTGGGTTTCGAGAGCAATGCCCCTTACTGCTCACCTTTCATGTGCTCTGAGCCAGTAGAGGACATGAGGAGGTGGGGTGGATGGTCTCAGCGCCCCTAGACTGTGCCACCGTTTGGTCGTCTGAATTGTTCTGTGCCACAGGGGAAGCGACTCTGCTTGCTTAGTGCTGAGGGTTGGGCGCTCCTGCCAGGTGAGTATTTACAAACACTTACAGCAGCTCACTTGGCAACACCAGCTCCACTGCTTCCCTGGGGTGCTTCTTGGCCCCCCTCCCCCATACCCATGCTGTAACCAGGAGAGCCTCCTGAGGCTGAGAAGGTAGCCATAGCTGGGCCCAGAGGGGTCAGAGGAGCCAGAGCCTTGGGAAATAATGAAATGAGAAGTCTGTGCGGCCACAACTCTGCCCTACCCCATGCCAAGGGCTCAGTGGCGCGGGCTGGCTCAGAGTCCCATGTCCTCAGAGGACCCATATGTGCAGCTCAGTTTGGTGGCCGCTCCCAGGTCTGAAGACTCATAGGATAAATGCTAGCAGTCTGGACTCCGAGCAGGACCTGGAAGAGTGACATCCAGTGGTGGCTGCCCAGTGGGGAGGAGCCCGGCCGTGGTCCATGGCTCCTGTGGAGGAGGGGTGCCCATCCCCCACTGTCACACCAGGCCAGTGGGCTTCCGGCTGTGAGGAGATGAAGGATTCTGGACTGTAAGGTGGTGACTGTGTGTCTGGGCCCTCCGAGCTGGCTCTCTGGGGGTTCAGAGCTGCTGTAAAGGAGAGCGTGAGCTGTGAGTGGGGATAGGATGGGGCAGCGCAGCACCAGGCAAAGGTGGGGATGCTGTAGTCTGGGCTGAGTCCCTGCTACTCCACTGACTCCCCACGTATTTGTGTATGGCAAGGAACTTCTGCAGGTGTAGCAGCAGGGCGAGTGGGCACAGCCCCCCAGCACCAGGACCTCTCTCTGTCAGGTCCGTACTCCCTTTCCGGGCACTGGGGAGCTTTGGGGATAAAAGCTCAGAATGTCTGGAAGCCAGCCTGGCAGATTTGCAGCCTGCAGCCTTGTTTATGATTTCTTGGGTTTCTGATACTGTTTCCTGGACAGAATATTCCATTTGCTAAAGGCTCTCTGGACTCTCTCAACTCCAGCATCTGTATTTGCTTGGGACACCTTTCCCATTGGTCTTTCGGTCTCAGTATCCACATCTCACTTCCCGCTGAGAGTCTGTCCAGCGTTTCCTCTGGCTCCCCCAAGCCCAATCTTTGCTCAGCCCTGCTTTCTGCCTTGTGGGTCTCCCATGGGCCAACAGCAAGCCTTCATCTGAATGAGCAGGGGTCACCTGAAAGTCTCGGGGTTGGCGTGTCTGGAGGCAGCTGGGTAGATGACCTGGCCACTCTGGCTGTTCTCTGTCAACCCGGCTGTGACTTAGTGTCTCCATGTACAGCTTAAGGAAGTGAGTCCTCAGGAAGCCAGCTGGCCACTTGCCTAGCACCATCCCCAGAGCAGTTTTTCTTGGTGAATTCACTGTGGGCCCTAGCTGGGCTTCTGCTCCGCTTATGGAGAATTTTAATTTGATCAATATGCCTGGAGTGATTTGTTCCTGTGGGATGGTGTCATAACTGTCCCTGCTGTAGGAGGTTGCCAGTAAAACTAGAATTCCCACTCAGACACTCAGCAAGCAGGCTCTGGCCAACTGAGGGTTCACTTTGCTTCCCAGGGAGCACCACACCCCCATCTCTGTGGGTAGTTGATGAGTGTTCCCAAGATTCAGACAACCTGTTCGTAGAATGTGGAGACCCACAGTGTCAGGGCCCTGTCACCTCTGCCCAAAGTGGGGACCAGCTTGGATTTGGGTGCTCCTGAGGACTGACAAGCACACCCCTAGTTGTTTCTCTGGTTCATGCTTTATGTGCTTAATGTCTTCATTGTAAAGTTGGAGAAGCAGAGGCCCAAGGAGGGGGGAGTTTATTCAACTGTGTGCAGCCTGTGAGAGAAAGAGGAGGAGTTTGAACCATGGGATTTTACTGGCCGCCTTGCTGTGCGGTGATGCTGTTGTTCGTGCATGCCCTTCGCTGGGACTCTGGCAGACCTCTCCTGTCAGGGCCCAGACTGTCGCTGACTGTCCCTGGACTGCAGAGTTGCTACTGCTCAGTTTCTCACCAAGAAGGGAAACCCCAGCCACGCTTGTGAAGGTTAAGGGCTGGCAAGGAGTGTGGTTGATACTCAGCGGCCTGGAGCCTCGTTGCCCTCAGCAGTCCGGCAGACCCCTGGGTGTTGTACAGCACTGCCAACCTCTCTCCAGCTGGGCAGTGACACGAAGGAAATCCAGTGCAGTAATAGAATCCAATGTGCAGCCCCCACTACGCCTCCTTTGGTTCTGAGAATGTATGGATCCTTGAGCCCCAATGTACTTAGCTGCTAACAAGAGGCCATGGTAGACTTCTCTGGAGAATTCTCTGGACACCAAAGTCAGTCACCAGTGCTTCTCAGAGAACACTCCCACTGCCTGGCCAAGGCATCCTCCATGTCCCCATGATGGACACTTATGCCCACTTAGCTGCAGTGGGCAAGTATGGCCCCTGAGCACAGAGCACAGATTTCCTCAGAGGAGGACATGGAGCTTAGCTGATCCCTTTCTCTCTGACCTTGGTCCTTCCCTCTGGTTTAATACCTGCTTCTATGCCCCCTCTCTTTTCCTGAACATTAGCTGGTGTGTCCCAGGTAGAACCACAGAGCGCTGTGCTGGTAATGGGGTCTCTGGGAGCTTAGTTTGGGGTGGTGCAGAGCCATGGTGCACAGGGGCCAGCGGGGACAGGTGACCCCACCCAGGCTGCTCCTGGGAGCTCCGCTATTTGGCAGAAAGTTGGCCCCATCATCACCTCTGGCCCTGGATGCTTTTTCTGTTCTAAATTTTCTTCCAGGAGAGTCCATGGTGGACTTGAGGGTAGTCTGCTGGGTGGCAGAGTTGCTGCACTCATGCGTACAAGCTCTACCCCTTCCCTGCTCTGTCTCCCTTGAGACAGTCTTAATCAAGTTTTAATCAGTCTTGGGGTGGAGATCCTTTCAGGAAAGTAGGATCCTGGACATGTATCTCCACTTAATCTGGGCCCTGCGCTTGGCATTCTTGCTGCCCTGCTTTCTCCACACCCAGGAGCAAAGTCAAGCAAGTAGACTCAGGAGAGGCAGAAGCACACAGGCCCTGGGCTCAGGAGCTTTCCGCACAGAGCTGTCAGAGTGTGTTCGGGTCCCCAGAAGGTTTGGAGGTTGCTGCGGTCATGGCACAGGGCCTGAGCATTTGGTTCTCCAGGAAAGTGGGCCGATGTCTATCTGCCAGGTGTGACTGCTCAGGCTTCTGGCCTCTCCCTGGAACAGGCCCTTCCAGGAGACCAGCTTTCACTTCACTTCCGTGACCAATGCTTGGCCAAGGTCAATGTGTTGCTAATGATCCATAAGGACAAGCCCCGACTCTCTGTACCCAGTCAGCAGGCCTCAAGCCTCATCTCTCTCCTCTTTCCTGCAGAGTTAATCCTCTCACTTCTGGAGAAGATGCAGACACAGGAGATCCTAAAGATACTGCGGCTGCCAGAGCTGGCTGACCTGGGCCAGTTTTTCCGCAGCTTCTCAGCCACCACTCTCGTGAGTGTGGGTGCACTGGCAGCCCTCCTCGCCTACTGGTTCACTCACCGGCCCAAGGCCTTGCAGCCACCATGCGACCTCCTGATGCAGTCAGAGGAAGTGGAGGTGAGCAGGGTGGGGAAGCAGGGTTGTGCAAGGTAGCAGCTGGAGGACAGGCGTCCTGAAGGCAGAAGCCATACTTGGAATTTATGTGACTACAAACACTGTCCTCCCATTGTTCATCAATTTGCTCGAGTGGGCCCAGCAACATCTCCATTTTGAGACTTGTTACTGTGTTTGGCATATTGAATATGTCACGGGTAGTTTGCTGGGCTTTGCCGTGCGGGAGAGAAACTCTCGGTAGCTTGCAGGGCTCTCTGAGAGGGGCAGAGGAATCGAACCCGCCTCGGCCGGGCTGGCTGCGCGCAAGGCAAACGCCCTACCACTGTGCTGTCTCTCCAGCCATGTGACCACAGAGAAACTTTTTTTTTTAAAAAAAGAAAACAAAACAAACCAAAAAAAGCAACTCTCGAGGCCTATCTAAGTTTCTAAGGAGCTGCCAGGTAAATCCCACCACCCCACTTCAAATTTCCTACCCTTAGCTCTGACCTGGGACCCAGAGCTGAGTCCATGCCAAACCTTTGTGCCCTTCTGAGCACAAGGACTACCAGGGTGATCAGGGTGGTCTGGCTGAGTCTGGGAGGACCTGTGAGGGCCTCACCAAACTGACTTGTCACTGTCACTGTCCTCCCGTTGTTCATTGATTTGCTCGAGAGGGCCCAGTAATGTCTTCATTGTAACAATTGTTACTGTGTTTGGCATATCAAATACATTATGGGTAGCTTGCCAGGCTTTGCCGTGCGGGCTAAATACTCTCAGTAGCTTGCCGGGCTTTCTGAGAGGGGCGGAGGAATCAAACTCGGATCGGCCATGTTGGCTGCGTGCAAGGCAAACGCCCTACCCGCTGTGCTATCGCTCCAGCCCCACCAAACTGACTTGGTTTTTAAAAAAAAAAAATTGTCTTTTTTTTTGGGGGGGGGGGCTACACCCTATGGTGCTCTGGTGTTACTCCTGGCTCTGCACTCAGAGATTACTCCTGGTATTGTTTGGGGGACCATATGGGATGTCAGGGATCTAATCTGGGTCAGCTGCATGCAAGACAAGCACTCTACCCACTGTATTATCTCTCCAACCCCCCCCCCCATTTTGTTTTTGTAAACTTTATTCATTTTGAATGGATAACATTTACACACTTTGCAAGAAAATGGGCTAAAACATGGGCTTACTTACCTTTTTCCAAGCTTCCCAGTTCTTCTCCCCTCCCATCCCCCTGAGAAACTGTTAACTGGCCATGAGCATAGCATGAATCCTGCTTCCTTTCCTTTTTGAAGGACACTGAGGTTCAGCATGTGTCTTTTGCTGCTGACAGTGCGTCTTGGCCATCGTGGACATGTCTGGGCAGTGTCCAGTGGGAAAGGCCACAGGCTGTCAGCGGGAGGGACATGTGAAGAGCAGGAGGTGTGAGGGCCCTGGGAAATGATGCCTCAAGGTAGGGGGTGCTGGGCGATGGAGAGGGGCTGCAGAGGGCTGCCAGACATGGCCTTTGGTGACGCAGCCCTGGGTTTGAAGACTGACTGTTTCTCATTTGCTGTGTGCTCCTTGGCAGTTCCCTTTCTCAGAGCATCAGGTTCCTCGGCTCCCAAGTGAGTGACGGAGTCCCTGATTCCTGTGGGCAAGTAGGGATGCAGGGAACAGACTCAGAGGAAGCACCCGGATTCCTTGTTCTTGGAAAGCTTTTCATTTAGCGCCCTGGCAGGAAACTTGGGGTGGGGAGCACAGGCTTATCCAGGGGTTTCAGTGATCAGGAAACACAGGAGCCTATTTGTGCTGTGGAAGAGTGGTCATAGCAGAGCCAGACGTCGAAGAGACACTGGACCCAGGAACTAGAATTGACTGAATTGATAGAGGCAGAATGGGGAATGGCTGTGCCTCAGGGTGGGGACCATAGAGTCACCTTGTGGCTCTGGCTGGGAGAACAGGACACAGGACACAGCAAAGTTCTTCTTCCTGAGAAGACTGATTCCTCCTTTGTCTCATGCCTCAGGAGCACAGAAAGTCAGAGCATGGCAGTGAAGTAGGTAAAGGAGAGTGGTAGGAAAAGGGAGGAGAGAGGAGTGAGGGGGCCTGATCATAGAGGTCCCTGCAGTGTTTATTCTGTGCTGTGTGCCCAGAGTTCTAATTCAGATCTTATCAGTCATCCTCGCTACAGTCCTCCCCAGGCACCCCATTGTCCCCGTTCTGAAGTCTGGAAACCTCACTTTGGTCTCAGCTTCCCTGGCCTCCTCTCTGGCATGAAGGCCCAGGAGTTGCCTGGAGTTCCCAGAGTGCACTTGTGCCTTCTGCCCCTGCATTTGCACTTGCTGTTGCCTCTGGCCAGTCTGCCCCGAGCTCTGCCTGCCCAACCCCTTCTCATCCTTCTTAGTTGACATCAATAACACTAGACACTTTAACTGTACCCAGTACTTGGGCTAAATAGAACTAGCTGCCACTACAAAATGGTTGAGAGCTAGGTGCCTGTGGTTTTGAGTTTGGCTCTCTGCCTTGTGGCTCTCACCATGTTTTCCTCAGACCTGGTGTTCCAAGAGATGATGGTGATCAGCCAGCACAGTCCACACTGCACTCAAAGAAGAGTAGCTCGAGAGAGCACTGGGAATGGGGCCTGGGAAGTAGTGACTTAATGGAAGGGAGGATGCAGGAGAAGAAGTCCATCTCATTTCCTGACCTGCCGGGATCCCTGCCCTCTGCCCTCCACTGCCCTCCAGGCCTCTATTTCTTGTAAAGCGCCATCAACCCAGTCCTCATTATGTGAATGACGGATGTCAGCCTCTTTCCCTAAAGACTGCCTCCTTTTGTAGGGAATTCTTTTGTGTAGGTTTCCCCAACAGTTCTCAGGCCCATGGGCCACTCCCAGAGACACTCAGAGGAGGCATGTGGTGCCAGACATATAACTGCAAGTGTTGTACTGTGCCCCATTGAGCTTTCTCCTGAGTCCCTAGAAATGATTCTCACACAGACCTTAGCAGAGTCCATGAGGGGATGGCCTCCTTGGCTGCCCGATCCTGATGTGTGCAGGTGGCCTCGCTCTAGCCAGACTCTCTACGCCATTCTATGAGTGGACTAGGAGGCATTTGTGGAAGCTCACCTGGTGTGTGGATGCTATATATGAATCTGGGAGACTGTGGACTGGCTTGTGTGCATAAGCCAGCTGGTTTTGCGTGTGGATGCATATGGGGCGCATTTGTACTGGCTGTGTGTGTGTGTGTGTGTGTGTGTGTGTGTGTTTGAACAACTATAGAGGAGATATATGGAGGGTATATAAATGTGGCGGTGATGTGAAGGTCTATAGAGTGAAAATGTAGTGAGGATATGAAGGTCCGTAGAATGAATGAATACATGGAGGAGATGGAAGGTCTGTAGAGAGAGGATATGTGGAGGGGAAACAAAGATCTTTAGAGCAGATATATGGAGGGAATTTGAACATCTGTAGGCGGATATGTGGAGGAGATAGGAACATCTGTAGAGTGGATATATGGCATGGATATGAAGTTCTATAGAGCAGGTGTGTGGTGGGGATATGAAGGTCTATAGAGCAGATATATGGCAGAGATATGGAGTTTGATATACCAGGTGTGTGGTAGGATATGAAGGTCTATAGAACAGGTGTGTGGTGGGGAGATTAGCAGATACATGGAGGGATTTGAACACTGTAGAAAGGTAGGAATATGATATCTGATGAGCAGGTATGTGGAGGGGATACAAACATCTGTAGAAGGAATATGTTTTAGGCCGTGAGTATAACTGCACATCACTGTCCTAGCTGTGGAGCATCCACACTGTGGACAGCCTGGGACCCACCAGTGCCCTCTCCTGAAACTCCTGCCTGCCTCAGCCAGTTTCCCTGGCCTTTGCTTGCCTCCTAGGACAGTGGTGGGGCCCGGAGATCTGTGATTGGGGATGGCCCACAGCTTCTGACCCACTACTATGACGATGCCCGAACTATGTACCAGGTGTTCTGTCGTGGGCTTCGCATCTCAGGTGAGAGCAGGCCAGGGCCTTGGGAAGGTCTGGGGAGGGTGTGGGGCAGGCATGGAAGGAATGTGGTGTCCAGCTTGAGAGGACAGAAGCCACTCTTGGCCCTTCTATCCAGTCAGAGAAGTGACCAGAGGACTCACCTCATTTATACAATCCTTAAGACTTCCTGTAGGCCAGATCTCACTCCATACTCTGGCAGCTCCAGCAGCCCCTGGTGAGCCAAATTTCCCAGTGACACCCTGAGGTCCTTGTCTTCATGGGGCTACTCACACCAGCCCCAGGTCGCTATAGGATGCCCTGTCCATCATAGTGGCCCTCTAGGGCTTCAGAAGGTTAAGCAGACAGTAGGGAATTGGTGTGGGGGGAGGGGAGAATTGCCCTCCACTTGGCCACAGTTTGGGGTGTCCATCCAGGTGCCTGATGGACCATTTAGGGGGTAACCCCACCCTGCACTCCACACTAGCACAAAGCCTACTTGTTTCTCTGCAGGGAACGGCCCCTGTCTCGGCTTCAGGAAGCCCAAGCAGCCTTACCAGTGGCTGTCCTACCAGGAGGTGAGTGACGGACACTTGGGGGGACTTGTGGACCTTCCCCTGACCTGTGTGACAAGATCTGTAAGCAGCCTGGACAGAGATTTGGGGAGATGTCCCCTGACCTGTCAGAGCCCTACCGGGGACCCTCAGAGTACTTCATTTTCCCATTGCTTTCCTTATGATCATTTGCAGGTGGCTGACAGGGCTGAATTTCTGGGGTCTGGACTTCTCCAGCACAACTGTAAAGCAAGCACAGATCAGTTTATTGGTGTTTTTGCACAAAATCGGCCAGAGGTGAGCATCTACCTAGACTGGTTTTTGAGGTGTCAGTGGAGTGGAGGGTTGGGGAACCCTGCTCCCAAATCTTGTAGGGCCTTGAATAGGAGTGAAATGGGAGACCATGTTCCATTCCTTTCCCACGTCTGGGTTTATCTCAAGTCAGGAGCTGCATCCTTTCCAATTCCCATTTGCACCCCACTGGCTACCTGCTGCTACCCTTGAACTTTGAGGGTGAAAGTTCCAAGGAATGTAAGCCCTGGGAGTGAACTTGCAATCCACTGGACATGGAATCTAGGGATGCCAGGATTTCCTGAGTGAGCAGCATGACCCAGTAACCTCCCAGTGCCTTACCACTGACTGAGCTCTGTAGGCACAGGATGCAGATCAGGACCCCTGACTGCCAGGGCTGAAGAGAAGATTCTCTTCCCTCTGTGCTCCCGCAATCCCCACCCATGTGTCTCCACAGTGGATCATCTCGGAGCTGGCCTGCTACACATATTCCATGGTGGTGGTCCCGCTCTATGACACCCTGGGCCCTGGGGCCATCCGCTACATCATCAATACAGGTGAGGCCGTGCCCTGCCTGCCACTGGCTGCCTGCTCCTCTCTGTCACTGACACGCCAGGGCTGCAGAATTGGCTTCCTGAGTTCAACCTTCCCCACTGGGACCTCACCTACTGCTTGGGTTCAGGGGGCTGCTGTGCATCAGACACTCCATGGCTGCCAGCCCTTGAGGCCCAGGGGAGGTGCTGGGAGCCGCTCAGTTCCCCACTCAGAGCTGTGAGGCTGGGACTGAACCTGGAGCACTGGAGCACCTGAAATACTCCTGGCACCCTCATCTCTCTCCCTGCCCCTGGAGCCCCTGCTCTCATCTCTCTCCCTGACCCTAGTGCATGAACACACACACACACACACACACACACACACACACACACACACACACACAGTGGCACATGCAGCTTACTATTCTGCTGACCTGCTGTGCTGCCCACAGTTGTGGCTTGTGCCCACACAGCCTGACTTTCCTTGCTGGCCCCCCCACAGCGGACATCAGCACTGTGATTGTGGACAAGCCTCAGAAGGCTGTGACTCTGCTGGAGCATGTGGAGAGGAAGGAGACTCCGGGGCTCAAGCTCATCATCCTCATGGAACCATTTGAGGATGCTCTGAAAGACAGAGGGCAGGAGTGCGGGGTGCTCATCAAGTCCATGCAGGCTGTGGAGGTGAGGGGCAGTGTCTGGGATAACCTGCAGGGCTGCAGCTGTCTGGCCACCAATCAGAGCTGCCTCTTACCCTCAGGAGACTGCTGAGGATACAGATTATATGGAGATAGCAGACTTCACTATGTTTGTGGTAGTGGGTTGGTGGGGGGAGGGGCGTTCAGGTATTCACTGGTAACCCTAGGTGATAGACTGACATGGTTTCTGACACAGGCAGCCAGAGGTGGATGGAGTCTCTCACCACCTGAGAGACCCATTTCCAGCTGACGGCAGCCTGGATCTTCTAGACAGATAAGAGGTCCAGAAATTGGAGAGGTGCTTGCAAACGTGTCCCAGATCCCCAGTAGCCAGCACCTCTTTTCAATGGCTTTTTTCAGTACCTGGCTTCCCATTGACTTGCTGCTGGTAGTTTGTGGCCTGCCAAGATGATATAGGACATCCCACCCGCCAGGGCTTCATGCAGCTGACCCCCTGGACCTTCTAGACATCGGCCCACATACCCTCCTGTTCTTCCACCTCCCTCCCTACTCTTGTGCCCTGTCCACCATACACATGCATTTGCATCCTCAGTGACTACATCCATCCTGGCAACTCCTTGGTTCCCCAGCCCTGACCTCTGGAAACAGCTTCCTCCCCTGCCACTGTCCCAAGGTTCAGTTCAGGTGCACCAGGGACATGTCAAGCCATCAAGTTGTCTTCCCTGCCGGGTTTCTGGTGCCCACCCTCTCCCGAGCTTGACAGTCCTGTGTGCAGTGTGCAGGGAAGGAGGCCCTAGGCCTGGCGGGAATCAAAGAGAAATTACTCAGCAGCACTGCAGACTAGGCAGTGTCTGGCCAGGAAATCCTCAACACTGGGGTTGGCACCAAGAAGGCATACAGCACTGTTCACTTTGACTCTGTTTTGCTGAGAACTTGTAAGCATTTAAACACGGTGTTTTCTTCTTCCAGGAGTGCGGCCAGCAGAATCGTCATGTTCCTGTGGTAAGCTGCCAGCAGGTGTTTGTGAGCACACAAGGATAGAGCTGTCCCATGCTGTGTCCCACCCCCCTCTCCCCCCCAGCATGCAGCAGCCTCTTGGTCATTCAGCTGCTCCCTGGGTATCCAGAGTGTGGGGAAGTGCCTTTGGCCAGTGAGGTGTCAGGGAGGGAGGAGAAAGGGCAGGGAATCCTTTCTAGGAAGTCGAATCCTCTCTATAGAGAGTCGTACTGGTTCCTCTGAGTATGGTAAACTGTCCCAGATGGACAGACAGAAGCAGTGACAGATCCAGACGTGGGCCCTGGGGTTAAAGAGCCTTGTGGCATCTCTTCCCTTGTTTCTCTCCACCTTGCGAATCCAGCCACATCCCTGCTCCCTAGGACCTTTCCTGGGGAATCCCAGGAAAGTATCCATCTCTCACACACTGTGCCCCAATCTTAGAGCTCTCTCTCCTCACCCCTCAGAGCTCTTGTGTCTAGGGCCATTTTATCTTCTAGCCCCCACCATCGCATAATCTGGATAGACCTCACTTGTCTCACCTCACATGTCACCTCCTCTGGGAAGCCGTCTCTCTGTGCACGTGACAGGGCGGGCTCCTCCCAGTGAACCCAGTGCTCTGTGGCGAATGAGGACCAGATACAGAGCAGTCTTGGTGGCATTGTGGCAGCTTCATCCCTGGGTTGCATCACCTGTGTCACATCCTAATATCAGACACTGGGGAGCAAGCAGGAAAGGCAGAAGGAGCACGGCCACTCACAGAGGGGTGGGCTCCGCTAGAGGCCACCATCACCCAGGCCTCCCTGGGTGTACCTCAGTTGTGAGTTGGGGAGTAGGGCTGGTGAGACTGCTGTGAGGTTGGTGGTGCAGCTCAGTACCCAGACCCCCATTTGGTTCTCTCACATCTTTGCCTCTCTCCGGGGAATTTGCCTGCTTGCCTGTTAGACTGCAGCCCCGGGGCACACACAGGAAGACCGGGACCCCCCACCCACATAAGATGGGCACATGCCCATGCAGAGAGGAGTGGGCTGGTGCAGAGGCCCAGGCACTTTGGCCCTGGCTCCCCACGCCAGGTCTCCTCAGCTCACCCTCTTATCACCTCTGCAGCCCCCAGAGCCCTGCGACCTCTCCATTGTGTGTTTCACCAGCGGCACCACAGGTAAGCAGAGTCCCCCAGATGGTGAGCTAGGGTTGCCCACTCCTCTCCCAGCTGCCTGGGACAATGACTGAAAGGGACTCAGGCTCTCTGTGGCCCTAGTACTGGGACTTGCTCCCTCCACATGTTGGGTTCTTTCTCCTGCTCCCTGTGTTTGGCATGAATGAGGTAGCCCTGGGTGGCTGGACACTGTGGATGGGGAGATCCAGGCTCCCTCCTCCTGGGACTTGTCTCTTCTTAGAGCTGGGACAGGGGAGATCCATGTGCTGGGTCAGAGCTTTTGCCCACAGGGGTCCCTCATCCTAGAGAAGCAGCTCCCTCTGTGCCTGCCTCCCTGTCTGGCCTTTGTATCAGGGGCCGAGGGCTGAGTGTAGGCATCTGAGAACCTGGTTTTGAGTCCCTCCCCTACCACTTGCTGGGCTGCAAGCCAACCCCCTAATTGCTCTGTCTTCCTGACCCCAGTTCCTTACCTTGTTGGGACACGTAGGAGGTGGAGGATGTATAGAAGGTTGACGCAGCTCCTCCAGGGCTGGGACTGACAGGCAGTCAGGAGCCTACCATGTGGGGGCTGACAGGGCCACAGTGACTGGGGTACAAGTGAGGAGGTATTGCTGGGGAAGGAGAAAGGACAGCACTTCACAGTCTGCCTTTCCACCTTCGCATGGCTCTGGGGACTGTCCAAGAGGACACCAACATATGGAAGCACTTCTGACTCCGGAGCCTGCCCCTGCTCCAACCTCATGGCTGTCTCCATCTCAGCAATGACTTGGAAAGCCACTCACCTATGCCCTGTGGACAGGCAGTGTCCAGCAAGTTTTTTCCTAGGCAGTAGACTGGAGCTCCCCATGCTGCTACAGACATAGCTTTTATGGTGTGTAGCATACACTTGGCTAGCCCCATGAACAGGACACTGGGTGGATTGTGAGAGATAGCGCTTACTGAAGCCAAATGGGCTTTTACGATGAACTCAAGTGATTTTAAGAATACCCACCACACTCTGCTAAACCCTGTCAGAAAAGAAACACCATGGTCCTCTCTCCCGTGGAGTTGACATCCACAGCCAGCCTAGAATTCAGAAATGCCCTTCAGAGCTCCTGCTTTTTGCCGTGGTTTTCACTACATGAATTTTTGATGTTGTGTCCCTGCCACCTGGGCAGGGGAGCAGGTCGTGGCTTTAGTGTTTCACTCTTGCCTCCCAAGAGTGCCTTCATGTTTTTAGAGGGTCCAGAAGTTATAGATGCTAGATACTTTCCCTTTATTCGGAAAAGGACTTCCCATTGCAAAAATGTTCACTGTCCAGCTGGAGAAGGGCAGGCCTTAACACCTGTGCTTTGTCAGACCCTGGGATTGAAATCAGAAGCCAAGCCTTCCCGCCCTAACTCTGTGTGGTAGCAGAATATATGGGGCTTAGAAAATGGATCCTTCCCGAAATGGTCAGGATTGAGGCAGAACTGAGGAACAAGCGGGATTCTCTCCGGCTGTCATCTGATTTCCTGGACATAGGCCTAAGCCTGGTAGTTATCCTCGGGCCCCACACATCAGCCGTGTGTGCCTTCAGCTTGCCTTCCATATTGAGCATCCTGGCTCTTGGGCTCATCAAGGGCCATGGAAGGTGTTTACTATTGTTGTTTTATATTGTTGTTTTATACTGTTGTTTATTTTTCCCACTGGAGCTTGGTATTGTTTGCATAGGTAATTTCAGTGTGAAAAAAATCGTTTTGAGTTTTATCTGGTCATCTTTCTGTAATACATTGCAATGTGACATGAAGTTTATTTGAAAAAAGGAAAAAGAAGAAGTATTACAGAGTAATGACAGCAAAAATGGCAGCTGGTAGAGGGGAGGGTGGAGTTTCTGTTGTTTTCTCCACAAATAAGGTTGTTTTTTTTTTTTAATAGCTGAGAAGGAGCAGTGAGAGATAGAGCAAAGGGGGTGGGGGTGATGCTTCATGGAGCAAAGTTCCTCCACCCCCGTGTTTGTTTTGGGTTGGGAGAAAGAGAAATTTCCAAGTAGCAGGAAGATGTCCAGATGTTAAGAGGAGGGGAAAGAAGGTGGAGCTGCGACCTCTGCAGAGTAGCAGTTGGGCCAAGGAGGGTGGAGTCATGAGAAATTATAAGTGGCACCAGCTGAGGATTCTGTGGGGAGGAGCCTAGGCTTTGGGGGCTCATGTTGTGGGAAGATGGAAAGGCCCATGAGGCTGTATTGGCTTGGTGGGGTTATGAGTCGGGTGCTCCAGGGAAAGCCCTGGAGAGTGGCTGATCTGAAGGAGTCAGAATCCAGCTTGGGAGAGTGGGGAGATGGGAGATGGGGGGAACTCAGGTGTCTGGAATTGCAGCAAAGGCTCTCGGCCTTGGGGAGTGGACCAGCCAGGTCTATTCCTAGTGAGGGTCTGGACCTGGTAGGGGAAGAGAAGGTGGTGGCAGCAACAATTTGGGAATCTTCTGGGTTCTCCTGAGAGATAACCAGAATAGCCCAGTCCTCAGCACATAAATGCTCATCAACCCTAGAACTGTGGCTGGTCAGAGGCCATTTCTAGAGGGAAAATACTCCCCTTCACCTCTTTGTTTTGTGCCGTTCAGTTCCAGGCTTGTGTGGTCATAACTCATAAAACCACATCTCAGCCTGGAGAGAACATGGCTATGTCCCAAGGAGCATTTCTTCCCTAAACCTCATTTTCCTCGTTTATTAAATGAATACATGTAGTACCTATAACATAGGATTGTTTCAATAAATAATCAAGCTCCTGGGGTCAGAGGGAAAGTACAGTGGTTACTTACTTTGTGTGCAGCTGGCCCTGTTGATCCCTGGCACCGGGTGTCCTCTGTGTTCCCCCATCAGGAGCAACCTCCAGCTGGGAATAGCCCCGAAGCACCACTGGGTGTGGCCCAACGCTCCCCACAAATCAAGCTGCCAAGAGAAAATGTCTAGCAGAGTGCCCACACTAGGAATGTCTAGTAATTGCCCAAAAATGCAGTTAATATTTATATTACTCTGAATTGTCAAATAGGACTTTAAAAATTACAGCGTTGATGAAATTACAATTCAGTCTAAAAAAGGGTTAGGAACCTTTAGCTGGAAGACAAACATGCTACGTGCAGTATGAAACTTTGAGAGTTAGAGTGCTTGTTCCCAGTCTTGTTTGTGACCCATCTTTATGTGAAAGCAGAAACAAGCAGCTTGAGAGCCCAGCGCTGCCCACAGCCCCCACGTCCACCCCTGCAAGAGAAACCTGGAGCTCAGCGCCTCCCCGCTGCTGCTTCCTCCCATCCTGTCCAGGACATTTCTTCACCCAGTGACCTGCCTTCCACTTGAGGGGCAAGCCCATAAACACTGGCTGCAGGCAAAGTGTCACTTCCAGAATCTGAAGCTAGGAGAGTTCCCCACCTGACCGGCAAGGAAGCTGGATAGCAAATGCCAGACAAACATTGACAGATGTGGATGGGGGAGATGCCAGGGCCTGGGTGGTGGTGCTTCTCATAGATGTTGCACACACAAAAAAGGCGAGCCCTGAGCAGAGATCCCTGCTGGAACTTGGTGTGCATGTAGGCCTAGTGGGATGTGCTTAGCATCTTCTCCATGAGAGAAACCTGGAAACATTTCTGTGTTGTGTTTAGGAAGAAATTCTGCTTGTCCTGAGTCAGCAAAGCAAACAGAGCCTGTCTGCCTCTCAGCACTGACCTTCCTGCTAGGAAAGGGAAGGGATGCTCTTCTCGGATCTGTGCTCAACACTCACTTCTCCCCTGGGCTTTGGGACCACATCTAGAGATGACTCTAAGTAATTGGAACAGTCCTGGAAGCCCTTTAACATTTCCATAATTAGAGGCCCAGGGATGTTGCTCCTTGGCAGAGAACTTGCCTTGCATGTGTGAGGCTGAGTTCGATCTGTGGCACCTCCTAATCCCCAACGCCACCATCACTGAGTGTGATCCCAGTGCATCACGTATGTGGCCCCCTGGACATCACAACAATACAGGCGACAAATGGGAGGGGATCTCAGTGGTGATGGGTGTGTGACTTGCATGCACAGGGACCTGGATTCAGTCCCTGGTGCCATCTGAGTCCCTGAGCACCTTTGGGTGTCCCTGAGCACTGCTGAATCTATGCACTGCACTGTTCAGTTCAGTTAGTCAAGTATTGTCATGAGTGACCTCTGGACCCCCTGAGTACTGCTTGAGACACCCCCCTCAAAAATAACAAAGGGAAGGGTAAAGGGAAAATTAAAAATGAACATTTTTTAAATTCTATAACTAGTTTATAACTTTTTATTCATATCTAAAGAAGATGCTTATTTTGTTTCATTTTTAATATTTTCCCCTCCCTTTTTGTTGTTGTTGTTGCTGTTGTTATGTTACCATGATCCAGCTTCTCTTGCATTAGTTGCGGTGCTCATACACACTTGTTTGCGGTGCACTGAAGACCGCACATCTTTGTTGTGGTGTCGGGATCCCGAATGGCAATGCCTCTTGGATCACACTCGGCTTGTGGGGCAGTCCGGGGATCGAACTCGGGGCCTCACACCTGTACCACAGGCACTCTGCCACTGAGCCATCCCCGAGCCCAGGAAGACATTTGTATTCAAAGGTAAACTTTTCTTGTCATGTAGGAGTGGAAAAGGGCTTGTGTAAGCTAAACAAAATCGAATACTGTTACTGTATGCCTCTGGGACTTATTTAGAAACCTGAGAAATTTTTTATCCATGAAGATGATGTTGTCAGACAATACACTCTCATGTTGTATTAGGCACCAGTGACTTGTCAAGTAGAAATCAAGCTCTCTATAGCACAGGACTATATTTGTGCCAGTTCTGATTTCGTTTCTAGTGTTTTGGAAACATTCCTTAAGAAAATTTTTGAACCTTAGAATTCACAGGTAAAAGTTTCCAGATGACATTTTTTGACATAGTTTGTGGGGGTCTGTGGGATTTGTGTGTAGGAGATGATATAGGGAAATTTCCTAATATGGACCTGGGTTTAAGGAGAGAGCCTGAGGCAGAAGAAAGATAAACAGAGGTGAGTCAGAGCCTATGGAGAAGACTTTAAAACAGCTATCTATTATAAAATGCAACTTTTCAAAGCTTTTAACCTTCTCTGTGGCCCAGGTCACCTCTGTGATTTGTAGTATGGGTCTAAGTGTCAGAGCATAGGGTACAAGTGTACATCCAATCAAACCGTGCATCCATGTCAGACCATGATGGGGCCATTTCTGATTCTTTTTCTCTGACAAATGGGTCACCAGCAAGTTGAGCAAATAGGCTTCGTGGTGTATCATGAGAGCAACTTGATTTTCATCTCCCTCTGTTCCTTTAAACTTGCTCCTTGGGGAAGTTATTTTCCTAGCGCGGGATAAAAACAAGCATGTCATGCCTTTTCTGGTCATTCTCAGATAATTATAAGTCACTGCAAATTACAAACACAGTCTTAATTCAGAATTAACAAGTGGCAGTTCCAGATAGGAATTGTTCACTTCATTAAGACTCCTCTCCGCAGCTGCGGGTGTGTTCTGCAGGGAAGGCTCTCTCTGCCTTCCCCTTGCCTCCGGTTTCACCTCCATTTCCTGCTGGGGGGAGTCGTGCAGGGAGAATAAGAAAGTGGGACCTGAAAGTTGAAATATGATTTTGGTCAAAGGTTTAAAACTAATTCTTCTTCACAACACTTGCAAGGGTCCTCCTGATGCAGTTGTCTGTTCCACACTTTCCTTCAGCTTCTGTCTCAGTTTCTGTCTCTGGGGTGCAATTGTTTCTCCCTAATTTTGAAGGAAGCTAATCCTATTTCCCTGGTAAACTGGCTTTTGGATAAGGTCAAGTTTTTAACCTGCCATTCCTCACTACCCCCGTTAGACTAACGCTCTTTCTGCAGATTACATCCATACCCAGTCCCTGGGATTTATTAGTTTGGAGCAACCTGATTTCTTCATCTTTCTCATAGGGTCCCTCCGCTCTACGATACAAAATGAACTCTCCCCATAAGGTCTAAATTAGATTAGATTTCAGGATTGGGTTTGGGAGAAAGGACTCCTTTCCTTTTAATAGTTTCTAGGGTGCTCCCCAAAGCAGGTCTCCCTACAAATTCATTCAACTCTATTCCTCTTCCTCTTTCATGAAATTCACCTAATTTGACTTGGTGAATTTGAAGGAGCAGTTTACATTTAGTATAATGCTTTCTAATCTCCACCTGTTTAAGCAGGTGAGGGTTGCTAGGCTAATACACTGGCCTATTTGCTGTTTCCTGGGTAAACTCCTCCCTTGTGGAGTATCACAGCTACTGTGTCTGCTCTCAGTGGGAACTTTTGCCTTATAATCCTTGTACTCAGTTTCTATCCTTAGACGTGAGAGAAGCCATTTCCCTGTCTCACCAGTATGGCAGTGAGAGGAGAGACGTGGCTTGCTGGCATTGTGCTGACCCCCAACATGAAAAAGGAACCAAGATAGCCTCCCTGCCAAGCCTGCTGTGTCCCGGTCCCCACCTGATTTCTGGCATTTGAGTTACCTAGGGACCCCAGGCTCCATCATGAACAGGAATGAAAGTTGTGTGAAAACCAAGAATATCCATATAGCAGGCACGGGCAGGTGCACTACCCAGCATGGGGGGCTCCAGCCATTCCTCTCTGAGAGCAAGTGGAGGACAACTTCTTGCCAGCAGAGTTGGATGCAGCTTTCTGTGACTAGCCCTGCTCAGGGCCAGAGCAGCATAGGTTATGGGGTAAATATGATCAATGGAGGGGACTCTGTACCCTCAGTGGGGGCATGGGGAGGCCAAGATCACAGCCCCTCAAGCCCCAGAGCTCGGGGGTCAGAGATGGTACTGGGGATGACTGGCTGGGGCGCTGTTCTCAGGGAGGACTCTTGAGTCTCCAGCTAATTTATCTTCTTGCTTTCTCTTTTCAGGGAACCCAAAAGGTGCGATGCTCACCCATGGGAACGTGGTGGCTGATTTCTCAGGCTTTCTAAAAGTGACAGAGGTGAATAGAATAGACTCACTAATGCAGGTGTCTCTTGAGGACATCTTCAAGCCTCAGAGGTTTTTTCACTTGTTTGCTTTTTCCCCCTGATGTGATCTGGGCTGCCACAGTGCTAGTCACAGGCAGCCATGTCTGTTCTCATTAGAACAACCTTTTTTTTTTTTTTTTTTTTTGGCTTTTTGGCTTTTGGGTTACACCCAGCGATGCTCAGGGGTTACTCCTGGCTTTTCATTCAGAAATTTCTCCTGGTAGTGCTCAGGGGACCATATGGGAAGCTGGGGATCGAACCCGGGTCATTCACGTGCAAAGCAAATGCCCTACCCACTGTGCTATTGCTCCGACCCAGAACAACCCCTTTCTTACAGACACTTCCACCCCCAGATACTGAGATGATCTATACCCACAAGCAAATTCATTTGATTTCTAAGAGTGCTTGATTCTCTTCCCCACCAAATCATGTAATTCCTTTAATTCCTTTTTTTTTTTTTTTTTGGCAAGAGTGGTGGACTCCCCCACTGTACTCAGGGATCCAGAAACCATTCCCAGCTTTACATTGCCCAGTGCGGACCCTATAGTTCAGTGCTCAGGCCTCCATGTGGTACTTCTTGGGCCCAGCAGTGCTGGGGGTCACCAGGGCCACACCGTTGTGTTGAGAGACTGGGAAGGGCCAGTGATGGGCCTTGGGCCTTCCCACCATGCAGCGTGTGTGCGTCTTCTCTTGGAGCTATCTCCCCAGCCCCTTATTTTTCATTTTTACCTTCAAAAATTGAGACACCTATGGGTTGTGTTTACCTTTATTTAGGAAGTATTCTTAATAACTTTTTTTTTTTAGTAAGGGTTTAATTTAATCGTTTTGTGTTTAAGGACTACTAGAGTCTGAGAAACAATGGCAACTGCCTATTTATTTATAAAGCTGTAGTTTAAACCTAAAATTTTAAACAGCTTGTTATCTGGGCCTGATAAAAAGCTCGTTAGCATTTTGTAACCATCTAAGAAAGGAGGATCTTTTCCTGTGAGAGGTGAGTATCCGAGTGTCCTACAGCTTCTCAAGGAGAAAAGAATGTATTAAGTTAAGCCTTTTCTCCACAATGGAGAAAAATCTGTGTCTACATTTATGCTATGTGACATTCTGGAACACTTGCCCCAGACAGTCCCAGAGTTGAGTAGAGAAGTGTCAGAGGCTGTGGGCACTCCACCCTGGTCAGGAGCCAGGAGCCAGCTTCTGGTATATTCATCCAGAAGCTAGTCCAGGAGAAAGGAGACCTTGACCAAGGCTGGAGTTCCCAGAGGCCTAGACTCTGAGGCCCATCCCACCTGTGAACTGTGGGCTGGGGCCCTTCTGTGCTAGGGGAGCTGCAGACTGCCCCAATGCCCCGTTTGCCCAGCTTGTGGTTTGGCCTTGCCCGCAACACTGTCAGGGCTCATGCCTCAGCCACAGTTGATGTAGACTTAGGGTTCTCTGGGCCCCTTTCTCTGGAAGGTCTAGAAAGTGCCGACAAGACGAGGCCCTCTGAATCCCTGCCCCGGTGGCCAGAGCGTGGGGAACGGAGCCTCCTGGTCCTGCGGCTGCAGGGAGGAGGGTGGAGAGCCAGGCTGGCGCCTGCTGACTGCAAGTGAGATCAATCCCCAAGGAGACTTCCCTGCGGAGCTGTGCTCTGCTGGTTTCTATGTGCTTCATTTGGCTCTTTGCTTCTGCAGATAACCTAGACCCACTGGCGCTGCGACCTAACACTCCGCTTCCTATGCTGCCCTGTCTCTCTGTCTTTTTTTCTCTTCTCTCTTTTCTTCCCTTCGCTTCTCTCTCTTCGTTTTCTCATGCTCTCTCTTTCTCTCTCTCTTGCTCTTCCATCCTTTCTCTCTCTCATCTTTCTTCCCTCTCTATCTTCCCCCTCCTCCCCATTCCCCTTCCCTCTCTTCCTATTTGCCCCTCTAGGACCATTTTCTCTTTATTGTTTTATGACTCTCTTGTTGTCTTCCTGTCAGTGTTTCTTTCCTTTCTGTCTCCCATGCCCGTCACCTGCAGAAAGTGATCTTTCCGAGACAGGACGATGTGCTCATCTCCTTCCTGCCTCTGGCTCACATGTTTGAGAGAGTGATCCAGGTAAGACGCCCGCCTGACTGACGGGCCTTGCCCGGGCTCCTTGTGTTTTCTTGCAGAGCCAGTGGGCTCCCACGTGTGCGGATGTGCACATTTCCTATTTGCCTTTAGCACACATGTTTGACCGAATGGTGCAGGTAAGGCCCTGGTTTCAGGGAGGCACAGTCTGTGCCCCAAACCCAGAATCCCAGCAGGGTGTCCTGTGTCACTGGTGACTTAGAACTAATGTGCCCTGTCCTTAGAAGGTACCAGACCTGCCCGGGGACCTTGGTTTCTCACCTGGCCTTCCTGGAGTGTTGCTCCAGGGAAGCACCTTCACTATGGCTTTGACTCAGAGAGCACTGCAGCCTCCTGGAAGGTCTTGCCCATGTGGTCTGTGTGCGGTACACTTAGAACCCCAAACAGTTATATTCCATGCCTTTAAAAATCATGGACCCCTTCAAAATAAGGCAGTAAAGTTGGGGGTTCAGATGGTGATGGTCTGTCAGTGGGATTGGTGTTGCCCCTGAGAAGGGCCACATGGGGGGGGGCACAAAGGGAGTAGGGAGCAAGAATATACATGTAGGTGTGGGGGCGAAGAATTCCGCATGTTTGCATCACTCAACCAGCCTTGTGAACAGACTCCTGAGCCGCCCCCATCTGACCGTGGCAGAGAGAAAGCAGGTGGCACAGGAGGCTGCCGGGCCCTGCTATGATTAGGCATCATTAGCACATGACTCTGGGTGACTCCCTTTGCCACATACCTGAAACTAGAGATCAGAAGTGGAGAACTGCCTCTCATGGGCTTGCCATTAGCTGTCGGGGAGGAGTGCAGAACTCGCCCCTGGCATCCGCTTAGTCCCACAGGGAGCCAGTCAGGCTTTCCCAGGACTCCCTTCAGACTTACCCCTGGCCAATGTTAGCAACATTTCGTGTCTGCTGGGGCCCTGTACACCCTTCCAGTGTTTTGGGGTGTCTACAGAGAAATCTACAGGCCCAGAGCAGAACCAGTGATGAGCGGTAACCTGGTGTAGCTCAAAGATCCAAGTCTCCAGAGTTTGGGGGTCCATAGGAGGGGTGGCTACCAGTGAGACAGACTGCTCCAGGATCTTCCAGAGGCACAGCACCCCTTATTTGTTTTCTCCCCTGCCTGGTGGGACTCGGTGGGAAGGTGGTGAGGTGGGAGCGGGCAGAGGGTCACTTCATTGTTTTGTGGAATCTGCCAGAGCTCGGTGGGGGGGTCACGGTGGGGTGCCCCACCTATAGTGAAGCTCTGGACTGCAGCTGGGGGCCACTCTCTGAATGATGTTCCTTACTGTCTGCTTCCTCCAGTCTGTCGTCTACTGCCATGGAGGACGCGTTGGCTTCTTCCAGGGAGATATCCGTCTCCTCTCAGATGACATGAAGGCTCTGTGCCCCACTATCTTCCCTGTGGTACCACGCCTGCTGAACCGAATGTATGACAAGGTGAGCCTCCTATTGCCTCTGGTCAGGCCCAAGGACTGCAGACCTGTTGGGTTGGTTGGGTCAGACCCAACTTTTTGTTTGGCCACCATAGTCTTGGGGTTGCTCCTCTTGGCAGTCCCTGACTTTTACTTCTCCTGCTCTTGTTTTCTTCCTATTCTTTAAAACCCTGATGGGGAAATTTCTATTCATTCCCTACACCTGTAACCCCACACTCCCATCCCCTTGTCCGGAAGTTGCTATTCCTTGAACAAGTGCCACGGTATGCCCCAAATCTGCTTCTCTTAACTGTTAGTGAGTGAGATGTCACACCTCCTGTGATTCTTAGGGAGACAAAGGGGAAGAATGAGGCCTCCAGTCCTCACAGCTATTTCTCACTGTTCCTCAGATCTTCAGTCAGGCAGACACACCATTAAAGCGCTGGCTTCTGGAGTTTGCTGCGAAGCGTAAACAGGCTGAAATACGCTGTGGAATCATCAGGAACAACAGTATCTGGGATGAACTCTTCTTTAATAAGATTCAGGTAAGAAAATAAACAAGTGATTACAAATTAGTCTCCCCAGTGTCTCATGGAGGTCTTACAGAGTTAGAGAAGTTCATCGTAGTGACCGAAATTTAATGAAATATGTCACTTGTTCATAGTCATAAAGCTTCAACTTAACACCATTAAAATTCTAAAGGACTCATATTTGTTCTTTAGAGAACAGCAACAACAAGGCCTCCTGAAAAGTAAGTAGTTCCCTTGACTTCCTCAGGCATTGCACAACTTTGCCCTAGCCTTCGGGTTCACCAGGGAGCCAGTAGGACATGAATGTTTTTTCTCTCCCCACGCTGGAACCTTGGCCAGGGAGAGCAGAGGAGGTTTTCCCTCAGTGTTTGGGTCTGTCTAGCCAGATGGCCAGGGATCTTTTTCTTCCTCTTATTTCCTATCCCAAACTAGGCCAGGCTTAAAGTAATCATTTCTAAATCCTCACTGAAGTTTTCAGACACTACATGACCCAAGGAATTTGTCACTAATTAGTAGAACTACTCATCTTCTCTTGGCATATTTTTAGCTATGAAAATTAATATTTAAACTCTCAGCTCAAGTTACAGAAACAAAGTGTTTAAAGAATTCTTTGTCCTCTACAATGCATAGCAAATAGAGCATGATATTGATTTCTACATGGAGAAAAAATTATTATGCCATTAAGCTGGAAGTGGGAAGAAATTGTCCTAAGTAATTGTTTTGGATGCTTGCAGTGGCAAGAGAGTAAGGGAACAATAGTGCACATTAAAAAAAAAGAGAATCAAGATGGTAGGATGGTCCTCAGGTCTATGCGTAGATCTCAGAGACATAAAAATGTTGGCTGTAATATGGGTTGAGTTGAAAAGTTGATTGGTGGGGCTGGGGTGATAGCATACTGGATAGGGCATTTGCCTGGCTGACCTGGGTTCAATTCCCAGCATTCCATATGGTCTCTTGAGCACCACCAGGAGTAGTTACTGAGTACAGGCCAGGAGTAACCCCTGAGCATCACCGGTATGACCCAAAAAAGCAAAAAAAAAAAAAAAAAAAAAAAAAAAAAAAAGTTGATTGGTTCTTGTGCAAGAAGAAGGGACCTTCTCAACTCTTTGTTGAATAGCCTCAGGCCTCTTTCCAGATCCTCAGCCTGGGGTCCAGTTAATTGAGTATTGATGTCACCTGAGACCCAGATAAGCTAGTCTTTCTTGAGCCATTAATGCAGACTTGCAAGTTCTCTCTTCCCACAGGCCAGTCTTGGCGGGAGCGTGAGGATGATTGTTACTGGAGCAGCCCCCGCTTCTCCAGCAGTCCTGGGATTCCTCCGAGCAGCTCTGGGATGCCAGGTATTGACATTAAGTAACTGTTTCTGGGGCCAGTGGGGAGTGTTAAGGAAAAGCAGGAAACCAACTATATCTTTCACTGTGCAGGGAAAGATCCTGGGGATAAAACTTAGTGGGAAAAATCTCCCTCCTCTGAGGATGGAAAAAGGCCAAGAGACCCGTCAACATTCTGGAAAATCCACATATATTCACAGTGAGGAAAGGATAGGAAAAACTGGAAAGTTCCTCAGAGTGCTATGGGACCTACCTCACACCCCTGCTGCTTCTCCACACCCTCATATCTACAAGAGGAGCCCAGGGCAGGGAGCGGAAAGTCCTTTTTAAAAATATTATTTTTTTTTTTATTGAATCGCTGTGCGATACAGTTACAAAGCTTTCATGTTTGAGTTTCAGTCATACAGTGATCGAACACCCATTCCTCCACCAGTGTACTTTTTCCACCACCAATGTCCCCAGTATTCCACCCCTCCCCTTGCCTATATGGCAGATAATTTCCCTCTTACTCTCTCTCTACTTTTGAGTATTATGGTTTGCAATACAGATACTGAGAGGCCATCAGGTTTGGTCTTTTATCTACTTTCAGCACACATCTCCCATCTCAAGCGATCCCTCCACAGAGAGTCCTTTTAAGTTATGTAGTTTTATCCAGTAGATTTTGTCATATGTGAAAACTGAAGGAATGAAGAAAAATTCCTATATTTATCCATTCAGTTGGCATTTATTTCTTCCATAGATGTGGAGCGTAGTGACATGGTGATTCTTATGGCTCAATTTGAAGTACAGTAAGCACATCTGGTTTATAATGTGCATGCTTCAAATTTTGCACCTTAGAAACTGTGGGCTTCTTATACTGTTTTCCTGTTCTGTACCAACATGGCCTGACCACACCAGTGGCAGAGTATCCCACATGGTGTTTTCCTGTAAAGAGATGGGATGTTAGAGGGGAATAATCTACAGAGACAAGATAAAATTTATAATGGATTTTTAAAAGATTTGTCAACACATATTGAAATGGAAAATGAAGTAAGTAGTTAAAATATGTCAGAAATCTTTACCGAGACCACGAAACATTGTCTTCTGGGTATCTCTGGTAAAAATAGACCTTCTTCCATGCAAACACCGGTTGTCTGTGTAGCTTCATTTGGAATTCCCTATCTCTAGACCAAGTCCCCTTCCACTGTTCTGGGCATGGAGCAGGTCAGTGGGCCGGTAGCTGGCTGGAAATGGCAGCCAACCACCTCCCGGAAGGTGAGTCCACAGTTTGGTTTCTGTGTTTTGCTTTGAAGGTTTATGAAGGTTACGGCCAAACTGAGTGTACGGCTGGATGTACCTTTACCACACCCGGGGACTGGACCTCAGGTAGGATGGGCTGGAGAAGTGGTAATGATTTACATGGGCACTTTGCAAACGAGTCAAAGAAGTAGTCAAAAAACACTCATATTATGTTTGGGTATAGATCATGCTATATGAGTAGTTATTCTTTGTTACATACTTTTGTGTTTTGCTATTTCTTTTGTAGATAAATAGAAATTGTGGGGGGAAAAAGATTGACTCACAATTCAACTCGAAGTGAAAAAAAACACTTAGGATATTAGTAAATATCAGCATATTACATTTGATAGGTTCTAAATACCACACACTCTCCCTGAATGATATTATAATACGGAGAGCTGCTGTGAAATGGGTATGATTCAGGGGAGGAGAGAAATTTGGAGTGGCCAGAGCACTGTTTCTAAAGGGCCATTATGAACTGTGATATCAATTTCTATCCTGTGATATCAATTTCTAGAAGCTTGCAGATCCTATCCACATCCTAAAGCCTGAAAAGACTCCTCTTTCAGGGCAAGGAGGAAGCACTAGGTTGCACATGGACTGCCCATGACCAGGTATAGACTAAACATAGAAAAAAAATCTGAAAACAGCAGAATCCTTCAGGCTGCCAACTTCTTCTGTGAGCCAGAAGCCACCTTCTATGCTTAAGTTTGCTCAACTATGCACTAGAAAACTTGAGATGATGTACATGCAAAAGAAATATGCACAGTAATGAAATACTATTTTCAGGGCACCTCGAGGAAGTCAGCAGAAACATGATAGGTGGATTCTAAGCTGAAATCGTATTTGGCCAGTTATAGAAGTGCTTCCATCCTCCACCACACCCCAATTTTATTTCTTTAAGCTCTAACTGAATAAAACCTCTTCTGTATATGTTCTTTGATCTATCTAGCACTGGCAAATCTATCAGAACTGTCTTCTGAAATCCTGGTTCATTCATTTATTCATTCCTGTTGCTGCATCGTGTTATTTCCCCTCATGCCTCCCCTCCCTTTGGACTCTTTTTTCCCATTTGTATCATCCTCTACATTTTCCCATCTAAGATTTTTGAGATTTGTCTTTGTCATTCATCCTTACCATAAAACGTTGTAAAGGCTATTGAGCTTGAGGACGTAGATGCCACTTCACAATTGTGCAGGGTTTAGCAGCCTCTCATTTAGAAGAAAAATCAAATTGTCACAACATTTATCCATTTATGAGCCACATAATGCTTCACAACCTGCCTTAAATCTCTCTACCTGGCTAGTGAATTTTGTGAGAATTATTAAAAAATGACATAGACGTCATTGTAGTTGGAGTACATAAGATCAAGAAAATTTGAAGTCTTACTTTTGGGGGGAAATTGTCCATTTGTTACTGAAGTAGAATGGGACAGATCTGTCAGCATCTCTTGAGACCTTGAGATATGTAGAATCTCGGTTCTGGGGAAATAGCTGAAAGGTTGGAATGCATTTCTGGCATGGAGGAGACCCGAGTTCAGTGCCTAGCACCATGTGCCCCTGAACACAGCCAGGTGCAGGGGAGGATGCCTCTAGACACCACTGGATGTGGACCCAGAGGGCCCTGAGCATGACCAGGGTGGCTTAGGTGGGCCCCAGTATCTCAGAGGTACTGAGGCTCACCTAAGCTCTTCTACTTCACCCCATTTTGAACTATATGGTACACATAGCTGGCTGAGTACCACTGGGAGCCTCTACACCCCTGAGCCTTGCTTAGGAGCCCTTCTCCTACCCCCCCACAAAACGTAGACTTTCAAGACATATCTTGGGACCTAGTGAATCAGAATCTATATTTTTAGGGAGCCTCCCAAGTGGTACTCAGGGGATCCAGGCGCCACTTCCAATGATACCTAGCCAACTAGGGTCAGTGGTTCAATGCCAGGGTCTAAGGATGTAGTGCTGCTTGGACCCCACAGTGCCAGGGAAACTGAGGACCACTGGCAGTGCTTGGGGCCTCCAGGGCTAGTCAGTGATTCTTGGAAGGCCATGTGGAACCAGAGATTGAACCCATTTGCTGCTAGGCATGTGCCCTAATTAGAATTTTATAAGAATTTTAGATTAAATACTAGTGCATTGATCAAGTATCTAGAAAAGCAGAATGGAAAGGGAGTAATGATTATATTTTATCATTTCTCCCCTCCCTACCCACAGACCAAATTTGTGATCTGACAGTGGGGAAATGTTTTAATATGACCACTATTGTAAAAAAAAAACAATCATGATTCTGCTTGGTTTTGGTGTTTGTCTGCCCCCACACAACGCCCACCAGTGAGTCTGTGTGGGTTGGTACTGGGCCAGGTGTGTCTGCCTGGATCTTTAATTTAGATTAAAAAAAAAAAGGTTCAAAAGAGGTGGCCTCTCCTTTCTCCAGAATTTTGTTTAGTCGTCAACTCTTCCCTGTGGCATCACTTTCCATCTATGATTCCGAACTTTGCTTGCACTGAGGGAGGGAGGGGGATGTTACAGTTCTGAAAAAGATCTGAAATTGACATTTGCCATTTTGCTCTGGTCTTCTAGGACATGTTGGGGCTCCCCTGCCCTGCAATCATATCAAGCTGATTGATGTGGAGGAACTGAATTATTGGACCAGCAAAGGTGAAGGCGAGGTAAGCTTAAGCATTTGCTGTTCATATCTGTGGATGCCACGTGCTGTGAATAAAACAAAATAGCACAATAATGGAAATAGGATTTAAAAAAAATTTTTTTATTGACTGAGGTTCTGTGATTTTCAATACTGTTAATGATAGTTTACCATGTACATAATTCCAACAGCACACCCATCACTGGTGTACCCACCTCCCAAGGACCCCAGCACCCCCGCCCTTTCAACCCCCCCCCCCCCCACCAAACTCAGTTGTGTGGATTAGTTCTTCCATTGTGTTGCCTTCAGTCCTTTGTTGCTGTCTTGCTGTGTATCTTTATGTGCCACATATGAGACAGATATAGAGTATATATATTTTTTCATCTTATGTGTCAAATAAGTTTATGCACTGTTTTTTGATTTCCTTTTTGGGTCACACTCTGTGGTGCTCAGGGCTTCTCCTGACTCTGCACTCAGGGATCACTTATGAAGAGGCTCTGTGTACCATGTGGGGTTCTGAGGATCAAATCCAGGTTTATTTAGTCAGTTTAAATTACTAATTATAAGACTGAACCCAACTGAGCATTTTATTTCCTCTTTATGAAGCAACCTTTCAAAAGGCAGGGACTGCACTGGTTTAAGTCAATTTGGAATTCCCAAATCCATCTTTTCCTCTGACTTATGGACTTCACTTCATTTCTGACCTAGCAGAAACATGACCATTTGCAAATCCTCCAGATGGAGTAAAGAGAATTGGTGGTAGCACAGTTTGGTAGAATATTTGCCTTGCACACGACTGACCCGGGTTCGATTCCTGGCATCCCCTATGGTGCTTGGAGGACCAGGAGTAATTCCTGAGGGCAGAGCCAGGAGTAACCCCTGAGCATCGCTGGGTATGACCAAAAACAAACAAACAAAAGTGTTTTTAAAAAGACGGACTGGATACTGCATGGAGAGGGCAGGAACACTTCAGCAGCACTGGCTGTTCCCACTCTGTGTCCATCTCTGCATTTCCCCAGATGGTTCCCTGAGGCAGTGTGTGTGCTCTATGCATACTCCTCAGAGCATCACATCAGGATTCCTTAGGCTGTGGGCTTGTAGAAACTGGGTGTTTGTCCCTACAGATATGTGTGAGAGGACCAAATGTATTCAAGGGTTACTTGAAAGATCCAGAGAGGACAAAAGAGGCCTTAGACAGCGACGGCTGGCTTCACACTGGAGACATTGGCAAGTGGCTGCCGGTGCGTATGTTGGGAGCCTTGGGGGGCTGTACATTTTGATGGTGGCAGGTGTCTAACCCAATTCACTCCTGAGGAGAGGTCTTCTCCATTTTCTCTCTGGTGGTCATTCGGGGGCACCTCACCTCCATCTTCAGCTCACCAGCCTCCTGCTAATGAAAGTGGAAGGAATCTTTGCAGGAGGGTAGAGCTGGAGTTTGAGACCCACTCCCTATTCTGAGTAGTTCCCAGAAAAAGATCTGGCAGTGCTGTGGGATCTGATGATGTGGTACAAAGAACAGGGGCTCCATTGCTGTGGGAAATCTGAGAAAGGCAAGACCTGGGATCCTGCAGACACTGACCCCCAGCTGAGATGTGGTGTGAGCAGCAAGAAAAGCCTGGAGTGGGGTGGAAGGATGATTGAGCCCCTTTGGCACGGCTGGAAGTTACTCCTATGACCTTGATTAAAGCATCATCCCTCCCTGGAGCCCTGCATGATCCACTTGTAGAATCAGAGAATAAGGTTATGTGACTTGCTTTGGCTGCTGCTCCCAACTTTCAGCCAAAGCCAGTAATTGTGCCTCATTCCATCCCTTGTAAACTGGGATGATAACATTGCTTACCTCTGTGGTTATTGTTGTGAGGGATAAATGAAATTATACTTTCAAGCATTTTTCAGAATGCCTGGCACATCAGAGACATGAAGATGGAAACCAGGATCATTTACAGGCTGTGTCACTGACACCAAGAGCCCTTACTTGATAGAGCCATTCCAGTGGCTCTCCTCTGATTCTCTGAGGCTGCTTTGGTTCTGATTAGAAGTTCTGAGATGTTGAGTTTATCAGGCTTGTGAGTGATGTCAAGCCCTCGTGGGCCCTCTGGGCTGGTGACCTGATTTGCCTGTGTGTGAATCTGTATGCTTCCCTTTGAGAACTCCTCATTTCTTCAGCAGTACAGATGTAACCCTGTTGTATACCCTTGACCAGAGACTCCGCCAAGTGGGGAGATAGGTTTCTAGACACTTTCCATCCTAGTGTGAAAAGCCTGAACTGAGGTCTGAGGCCTGAGCAGAGGACAGGGATCTGAATCTTAGGGTATGAGTCATGTTGGAAGGCAGAGGAAGAAATGCTGGGAAGGACAACTGGAAAGGGCAATAAATAGCATGTGTGGAATCAAGAGACACTGGAGGTCTGAGCTGACCCCACAGGTGTGTGTGTTGGGGGAGGGGAGTGATGGGTGGGAGCCCAGAGAAGCATCAGGCTCTGGGTGCCAGCAAAGACTGGGCAGTCCCGGCAGCTCACAGAGCTCAGGCCCTCACCTTCATGGACCTCTTTGAAGGCCCTGCACTTCCATTTCCCTTCAAGAGTCCTTTAAAATTGGATAACACCTGGAGCCCCTCAAAATCTTACATCTGGGGCTAGTGCTCTGTAGGTTGAATAAAACCCTAAAACTGTAGTCCCAAAAGTTTGTACTTTTAGTCAGTGATAAACCCATGGTAAATTAATAAAATTTCACTTAAAAACAACCAACAAACCCCACCTTGCCTGGTGTTGTGAGAAATGAGTAATTTCCAAGAAACATCTAGAACTTGAACTGACAGACAAAAAGCAGGGAGTCTATAGAAACCCATAAAAAATATTGTCATTTACAAATAGTATTAGATATATAAAATAAAAGGTATAAAATTCTGCTCCAAATCCCAGTCCCCACTACTGCCTGTGTGGTTTTAAGGTGTTAAGCAACCTCTGATCTTCACTTTAATCCTCTGTGAAATGGAAGTGATGATATGGCGTATGTGGGGCGATGGGGATCAGAGATGCCGGTGTCAGGGAAGCAGCTGATAGTCACCTGGATGTAGTGCATGCAGGCTGCCTTTGTTCTCCATCTGGTGGGTCAAGCAGAGGGAGAAGGGGTGCACTGATGCAACTCAGAATGTTGTCAGTAGATGGTTTTGATAGAGGAGGTGAATGTGAGGACAGCTTCCGAGTGAGGACTGATGAGCCTGACTCAGCAGCCTGAGAGTCCCAGGAGGGGCAAACAGCAAGGCCATCTCCAGGGTTGGGGCTTGGGAACTCGGACAGGCTTGAGTGGGATGGCAATGAATTTCATTTGAAGCATGTTGTATCCTACAGGTTACTGAGCCTGGGCTCTGACACGCTCTGAGGGCAGTTAGGTTCTAGACTTGGAGCTCAGAGAAGTTTGACTGGGAGCGTGGACATGGGAGTAGACAGTCATGAGATAACTGGCAGTTACATCAGGGAGCACTGCCTATACATGTTAGGAAAGCTCCCTCCTTCAAGGGTTGAGTCAAAGGAGAAGGACCCACTTATAACCTCAAAACTCAGGAATGTCAAGGGGAGTTGGTGGTGAGTTGGGGGTCCTCGGGGCCAGGGGCACAAACATTAAATGCTGTGGAGGTCCCTGGGGAGTAGCCAACCATCCTGGAGGGATTATGACTTTAAGGCCACCTGAGATGTCAGGTGGAACTCAGTGGGGGCCTCTGCCAGTTCTGTGTCATGTCGAGGGGTGAAGGAGCTGCTTATTTGGTGTGGAGACAAGAGGCCTAAGCATGTGTAAGGGAGCAAATCTGAAGTTGCTGTTGAGCACAAGGAAGGCTGGATCCAGGACCTAGGTGAGGTAAGAGCATTGATGGAAGGCAGGTGGTCTTCTGTGTAGGACATCTGTCACCAGGCCTCTGGTGCATGCAGGGATCCATGCTGGGGAGTAGGGACAGAGAGCAGAGCAGGGAGCCTTCCACCCATGTGCATAGGGCCGCTCCCATCCAGCCCCATGTCTCGGCAGAGCACAGATGTCAGTTCTGGGGAAGCAGCCCCTGGTAGGGTCTGCAGCAGCATGGGGCAGAAAGAGGGGCTTGGGATAGCCATCTTATGATGCTCTTTGTCCAACTCCATAGGCAGGAACTCTTAAAATTATTGATCGGAAAAAGCACATATTTAAACTCGCTCAGGGAGAGTATGTGGCACCTGAGAAGATTGAGAATATCTACATCCGCTGTGAGCCTGTGGCACAAATCTATGTACATGGGGATAGCTTAAAGGTGAGTTTCCCTGCTCAGGACAGGGTGGAGGGTCTTGGGAATTTTACTGGTGGTGAAAGTGCAGTAACTTTTGTTCATTAAAAGCATGAATACTAATGAAGCATGTTATCTCAACTACAATAAAGAGAAAGGTGAGTAATTTAAAAGAAATAACCAGCATGTCCCCGATTCTCTACCCCTCCCCTGTGTATAGGAACTGTTGAAAAATCTAAGAGTCATCTTGAAATCATTTCTTAAGTGTATGGTTTTGGATTAAAATGGTAAATGTTTATTTCCAGTCAGTCGTCTGTATTCTCCAACACATATATCTCATATTCTCATGAGAGAATTTTCTGTTTTGTTTTGGTAGGGATACGATGTTGCTCACTCTTTGAGTTGCTCACTCTAGAGTTACTCAGGCCACCCAAAAGTGCGGGGCACCTCTAGGATCTCACCCACCAGGGCTTGGGAGCCTCCAGGGCTGTACCCAGAAATGTTTGGGGGATATCGTGGGGTGGGGCAAATCGAGCCAGGTTGACCACACGTGCCTTAATCCCCTGTACTGTTTCTCAGACCCCTAAGTAAAAAATGTAACGGTGACAGATTAATTGCAGATAGCTTAATTTGGTGAATTGTAGTTAGGTGAGTTGTTTAAAGGAATGATAATAAACATTCCTATTACTTTTTGGGGGGTTAGGGGTTTTGGGATCATACACAGCCATACTCAGGAGCTACTCCTCGCTCTGTGCTGAGGGTCGCTGTTGGCATTGCTCCTGGGACCTCGAGGTGCTTGGGGATTGAGCCCAGGGCTCCTGCCTGTAGAGCACGTGCTCCCGCCTACTGAGCTCTCCTTCCAGCCCGCATCCCCACTCCTTTTACCTAGTGCTCTGCCTGCTTCCAAGAGAAATTTTGAGGTGTGATGCTAAAGCAAAATTCAGAATTCCTGCTGTCTTGATTTTGAAGTAAGTAAGAAAGTGAATTTTAAAAATCAGTGGGGACAACAAATAGGTATTTGGATTAAATTATTTGGAAAAGATTTATGGTTTGCTTTCATTGTCACATTTGAAGTCAGAAAAAGTGTGGGGAGCATTCTATGCTACCACTGGATTTATATAACTAAATATTACTAATTTGATGAGAGGGTGGTTTTGAGCCATGCCTGACTGTGCTGAAACTTTGTTCTGACTCTGTGCTCAGGAATAACTACTGGCAGTGTTCAGGACCCTAAGAAAAAAATGTAACTGTGACAGAATTTTGTGTGTTTTAGAGGGTCGGGGTGGGGGTGGCACTCCTGGCAGTCCTCAGGGCTGGTTCTGTACCCAGAGACCACTTCTGGTAGGGCTTGGGTGACTATATGGGGTGCCAGGGATGGAACCTGGGTTGACTGCAAGACTTTACTGTCTCTCCTGCCCTTAAATTATTTTGCTTGTTTTTGTTTTGGAGCCACACCTGGCTATGCTCAGTGCTTACTCCAGACTCTCTGCTCAGGGATCACTCTTGGTGGGGCTTGGGCAACCATATGGGATTCGCAGGATTGAAACAGGCAAGTGTCCTGCCCACTGTACTGTAGCTCCTGCTCCACCTTAAATTACATTTTTAGAAAATGTTGGGCCCCCAAACAATAGTATAGTGGGTAGGATGTTTGCCTTGCATGCTGCTGATCAGGCATCCTTTATGGTCCCCTGAACACTGCCAAGAGTAATTCCTGATCACAGAGTCAGGAGTAATTCCTGAGCATCACTGTGTGTGATTCAAAAACAAAACAAAACAAAAACAGAAAAAAAAAGAAGAAATGATGTTTTAAAAATTAAATGAAGTTCTTCATGAATGAGTACCACATTAATGAAATAATTTCAAAACGGTCTGGAATTCCATGAAATATACATGTTGTGTGTCATAGATTTGATTAACATTCTAAAAATGATGTCATTTAAGACTTTCATGAAAGGGATTAGAGAGATAGTACAGGGGTTAAGTCACTTACTTGCCTTGCGCATGGTCCCTGACACTGCATCAGAATATGGCAAACTCCTCTAGGAGCAAGCCCTGAGCACAGCCAGGTGAGGTCCAACCCCTTACTCCAAATATTTGCACCAGAATCAAAGATACATATTCATTTAGCTTTACTGAATCTTAATCTCCCTAAACTTACTATTTTGCAAAAGTCAGGAAATTATGTTAGAAAATAAACTCAAGTCTGTATGATATATTGGTAGAAATGTTTCATAAGCATATACCTATTTTTAGAAATGGGTGGAGTCTGAAAATACCAAGAGATTATTTTTAATGTGGACCATAAATAACCACTTTAATAGCTTTTACTATGACTCTTCCCCTTTGGTGGTTTTACAGGCCTTTTTGGTGGGCATTGTCGTGCCTGACCCAGAAGTCTTGCCTTCCTGGGCCCAAAAGAGAGGATTTGAAGGGCCATTTGGAGACCTTTGCACAAATAAGGTTGGTATTTTGAGACTGTTTCCTCATAAGTGCTGAACTATTTATGAAACTGCATAATGAAGGGAAAGAACAGTGGACCTAGTGAAACGTGAAGACAGGGAAATCTCTAACATTTTATAAATGGTGGGAGTGAAGCCAGAGGGTCTGCTTCTTTGGAATTGTGATGGAATTCAATTTTTCTTCTAGAAAGGTTTGATAAATCATTGACCTTTAGCGCCAGGGAAATCCCAGAAAGCTTGTCCAGCCCTGTTCGTCCAGCTGGTGGGAGAGTCCAGAGAGGGAAGTGCTTTGCCCTGGGCCGCACAGCTGCCTGCGGCAGTGTCCACTATAAACACACGCCTTTTGAAAGATGAGAGTGGATTTTGTTTCTGCAGTGCTTAGAGAAATACTCATGGGAATGGAAAAGTGGCTCGTTGTTCCTCCCCAAGCATCAGCCATTCACATCTTTCAGAAACCAACTCATGACACACGTAGTGTTGTGTGGAGAAGGAGCACTGTACGCTGGCTCCGCTGCAGCCATCCACTCCAGCTCTTTCACTCAGCCCCGGGCTCCTCTGAGGTGACAGTCCAAAGATCTCCCCTCTGAGTAGAGGGCCACTTAATGTCAGCCTGTCCCTTGCCCTCTTTGTGCTCCCTCCTTTACCCCATATTAGCCTTTTTGTGCTTCTTCCTTTGCCCCATGCCTGACTTTTCCTTCCCAAGGAGAGGTGAGGACTGGGGTGCTGCCATGACAGGGCGTGGCAGCCCCAGTTGAGAGTTGCAGTGAGGGTGGGGGGTGGGGTACAGCACGGATCTTGTGCAGGACTTTGCTCAAGCTCATAGTTTCCCCTCTATCTTGAAATGTATTTTTTTTTTGTTTGTTTGCCTTGTAATTTTATCCCTTTGATTCACTTCAGGAGCTGAAGAAAGCCATCTTGGATGATTTGGTGAGGTTAGGAAAAGAAGGTGGACTCCATTCTTTTGAACAGGTAACTGTTGCCTCTCTTGCTTCTTAGACTTTTGTAAGAGATGATGAAAAGGAAATTAAATTAAGTTATGGTAATAACTTAATTAACTGATCTAGACTCCCCACCCTCAGCACTGTGGCCAAGACCTGTTCTGTAGGCCTCTTCCCAACTGACTTTCCAACCACCTGCTTCCTGAACTTCATATGTTGAGTGAATCTATGCTTTTCTCCTCATTGTCAGAAATATTTAAAAGCTGAAATAGTCCTTTGCTGTCACTAATCAATCTTGTGTGTGCGGTTGTCTCCAGGCTGCCTTCAATACCCTAGATCAGTATCTTGTCTTAGTTTTTATTTTTATGGAGTCTGTCTTTTTGGCTGCAGCAGGGGCACCTTGCTGGCTTGGCATGGGAGTGGTTCAGCTGTCCTCTTACAACTTTTTGCCTTTGCTCAATTTCTAGTTTTTGAAGGACTGTCCATATTGTTGTCCAGAAAGGCTGGACTAGTGGGCATTCCCACCAACAGTGAAAGAGTGTCCCTTGTCCCCCACATCCATGCCAGCACTGGTTGCTTTTGTTCTTTTGAATGTGTGCCAGTCTCTGTGGTATGAGATGATATCTCATTGTTGTTTTGATTTGCATCTCCCTGATGGCTAAAGGTGTGGAGCATTTTTTCATGTGTCTTTTGGCCATTTGTATTTCTTTTTTGAGGAAACTTCTGTTCATTTCTTCTCCCCACTTTTTGATGGGGGTGGAGGTTTTTTTCTTGTACAATTCTACTAGTGTCTTGTATATCCTAGATATTAATCCCTTATCAGATGGGTATTGGGTAAATATTCTTTCCCATTCTTTGGGCTCTTTCTTTATTTTTGGTCACTGTTTCTTTTGAAGTGCAGAAGCTTCTTAGTTTGATGTAGTCCTACTTGTTTATGTTTGCTTCCACTTGAATGGTCAGTGCTGTTTCATCCTTAAAGATGTTTTTAGCTTCAATGTCGTGGAGAGTTCTGCCTACATTTTCCTCTATGTACCTTGTGGATTCATGTCTGATATTGAGGTCTTTAATCCACTTTGATCTGACTTTTGTGCCTGACCTTAGACAGAGGTCAGTGTTCATTTTGCTATCCAGTTTTCCCAGCACCACTTGTTGAAGAGGCTTTCCTTGTTCCACTTCACATTTCTTGCTCCTTTGTCAAAGATTAAATGGTCATCGGGGTCTGTGACAGAATATTCAACTATTAGATATTCTTTTTTGTATAAATTTTTGGGGTTTTTTTCTTTGCTTTTATTTATTTATTATTGAATCAGTGTTTTTGTTGTTTTTTAAATTTTGATAAGCTGAAAAACATTTTAAAGCCATGTTAAACATAAATTCCAGTTGTAGTAATTTTAATTTAACATTTCTGTAGTTGACTTTAACTTGTTGCATTTGGGACTGAGAAATTTAAACATTATTTAAACATTAGAAGCTTGAGGGAATTGTTTTGTTTTGTTTTTAATTTTAAAATGTGGTTTTACCCTTATCTGATATGTCAGCATGTATGGAAACAAATAAAACCTGGATAAATAATTCTTTATTTTAACAAGTTATAAAATCTAAGATATTTAGACAAGTTGCATTTATTTTTGTGAATGCAAAGTTGGTTCTGGAATAATTATTTAAATTTCTGAATTTTCTAAAGCTGACTTCATTGGCAGTTCTAGATTTTCTGTCTTGGAAATTGTATGACTGGATCGTCTTGAACAGGGGCCACACTGGGTTGCTCTGGGCCTGGGTGGCTCTGCTCTGAATGACTGAGAGGGCTCTTGGAATGCAGTTAAGCTGATTAACTCCTGGGAACATCCTTTTGCACCACCAAGGCTTGCACGCCCCCTGCTGGTGTCATGTCACATGATCGGCCACTGAACTTCTGGAAAATCTTAACTAGATTACTCCTTATGAAAAAGACTGCCAACTTTCAGTTTATACTTAAAACTTTGAAGATTTGATTAAGTTTCCACTGCTAACCATGCTCTAGTTAGAGCTTTTACTGAGACGAGATGTATTCTTGACTTTCCATACACCTAAAGAACTTTCTGCTCTAATAATCTGCCTTCACCATGGTAACATCAAATACAGAGAAGTCATGTGGCATCCCAAAGGCTTGAGTTTTATTGCCAAGGTTGTCACCTCTTCATTTTCTGTGTTCTCATTTTCCTCTTTGTGGATCTGTGGCATCTCCACCCCCTCCTTGGCCCCTCCACTGCCGCCCAGCTAATGTATGCCCTCAACTGACCACAGGAGTGCAAAAACCAGGCCTAAGGGGAATGTGTTCCCAAATCTGTTTAGAGCTCAACGTAATTATGAGTTGATCTGCGTTTTGTGGTCAACTTGTCTTTTTCCATTTTTGTCAAAAAGTAGTCATCAATTTGGCTTCAATACTAATTTTTTAATACATATACACAGATATCTGAACTCAAGACTCATTTGGTTAATAACTTTGGGAGTTCAGGCTTACTAGACTGGACTGATCTGTGTCAGAAATTGAAAGTTTAAAATTTAATATAATTTCCAGAAACAGATAATTCTAGAACTAGGTAAAATAAACTAATTAAGAATAACTTTAAGAGTTAAATTTTAATGAGTAGATAGAAAAAATGAAAACTATTTCAGCAAAAATTTAAATATGTAGGTACCTTGGGAGTAAATGAACATGTTCTATCATAATTTTAATTATTTTCTGATATTTATATGCCTTATTAGTTTGCATAGGCAATTCAAAGTGTGACTTTGATTTTTTTTCTTATTTGAATTAGTGAAGTCCTCACTAAAAGTACTTTATTATATTTTCTTTCACTGATCTGAATACTTAGCTAACCAGTTGCCTTTAAATGGAAAAATGAATTGAGCATTTTCCTAATTAAGGTATTTTTAGAAACTTGATCTCTTCTTCCTAAGTTATTCACTCCTTGTTTACTATCTAAAAGTACTGGTGTGGCAAAATGTCTCAATGAAAATCTCAAAATACTGGTTTTTTCAAAATGATGAAAATTTCTGGGGCCAGGGAGATATTGTATAGAAGGACCACTAAAAATATTAAAATGCTGTTTCTTCAAAATTGTGCAAATTTCTGGGGCCAGAGAGATAGTGTACCGTGGGTAGGGTGCTTGCCTTGCATGCGGCCAACCCAGGTTCAGTCCCTACGAACCCATGTGGTTCCATGAGCCCATCAGGAGTGATCTCTGAGGACAGATCCCTGGCCCCCAAACAAAAAGTTACAAAAATTCCTGTTCTTCAATGAGTTGTCATAAGTTGATACTTTTGAGGTGTTTTATTCCAGTATAATCTTTTTAAGTTACAATATTCTGAAGTGTGTGTGTGTCTATTTAGAATTACTTTTCATACAAGAGAGTAGCACTGTAGCACTGTCCTCTTGTTGTTCATCGATTTGCTCAAGTGGGCACCAGTAATGTCTCCATTGTGAGACTTGTTGTTACTGTTTTGGGCATATCAAATACGCCACGGGGAGCTTACCAGGTTCTGCCATGCGGGCAGGATAGGAAAGGAAGCTGGGACTGGAGAATTAGTATGGCAGGTGGGGTACTTGCCTTACTGGCAGCTGACCTGGTTTCAGTCCCCAGCACTCCATGTGGTCCCCAGAGCCTCACAGGAGTGATCCCTGAGTGCAGAGAAAGGAGTAAGCCCTGAGCACTTCCTGGTGTGGGCAAACCCCTTCCCGCCCAAATAATCTCCTTCTTTCTCTCCTTAACCAAAAATTGTGCCTGCTAAAAATTGGATAGCAGGTATCTTGGTGTGTTATATATAAAGGCTAATTATTCTTTTTTTCTTAGTAATTTTAGTTTTATGAGAAACTTATTTTGTGTATATAAAATCAGAATAGGGCTGAAGAGATAGTAAGGGGGTAGGGTGCTTGCCTTGCATGTGACGAATCCCAGTTCAATCCCCATCACCACATATGGCACCTTGAGCAGCACCAGGAGTAATCTCTGAACAGAGTTAGAAGTAAGCCCTGCGCACTGTTGAGTGTGCCTTCAAAACTAATAATAAATAAGTCAGCTTATTTATTGGTTCCTTCTGAAAGCCACTATAGGTTTGGCATCTGCAATTAAGATCTATTAGATCAGAGTTTGATGCACATCAGGTTGTTCGTATTTGAGTGTCTTTTTGTCACTCATGGACCGGAGCAATAGCTCAGTGGGTAGGGCTTTTGCCTTGCACATGGCCGACCCGTGTTCGATTCCTCTGCCCCTCTCGGATAGCCCGGCCATCTACTGAGAGTATCCCACCAACATGACTGAGCCTGGCAAGCTACCGGTGGTGTAACAAGTCTCACAATGGAGACATTTGGTGCCCGCTCGAGCAAATCAGTGAACAATGGGATGACAGTGACAGTGACAGTTTGTCACTCATGCAGCATCCTGGTGTTTTTGTGAAAGAATTAATTTTGATTTAAAAATATTTTAGCTGGGGCTGGAGTGATAGCACAGTGGGTAGGGCGTTTGCCTTGCATGCAGCCGACCCGGGTTTGATTCCCAGCATCCCATATGGTCCCCTGAGCACCGCCAGGAGTAATTCCTGAGTGTAGAGCCAGGAGTAACCCCTGTGCATCGCCGGGTGTGACCCAAAAAGAAAAAAAAAGATATTTTAGTTGAAGAAATGTTGTTTTACAAGACTGTGTTTTATTTTAGGGGCACAATTTCACTTATCCCTCTTCTGAATATATGTATGTTACCGCACCATACACACTACCCACATTCCAGTGACCTTTGGGTCCCCTCCCTGCTTTAGTTCTCCTCCCTGCTGCCCCTCCCTCACTTCTGAGGTCAGAGTCCAAAGACTTGTTTTCATTTGGGTTTGTTCTTCATGGAAGAAATAACTCTTAATTTTGTTGCAATTTTTGCTGTGCTGATTTTAGTTTTGCTTTGAGCTCAGAACCTCTTCCATGGGAGGCAAGTCCTCTACTTCTGAGCTATGTCCCTCCTGGTCCTCATAGAAGAATTTAAATAGGTCTCAGAATTTAAATTGTAG